GCCCAACTTGGTGTCGTCTGCAAACTTACTGAGGGTTCACTCAATCCCCTCATCCAGATCATTGATAAAGATATTGAACAAGACCGGCCCCAAAACTGAGCCCTGGGGAACACCGCTTGTGACTGGCCGCCAACTGGACTTAACTCCATTCACCACAACTCTCTGGGCCCGGCTGTCCAGCCAGTTTTTTACCCAGCAAAGAGTACACCTGTCTAAGCCGTGAGCCGCCATACATCATTATGGAGAATGAACCTGGAATCAAGTAACTGCTCAGAAGAAATAACTGTTTAAAGAAAAGGAATGCCAGTTGAATGCTGCTTGGAAACAATGCATTTCTCGTGGCTGTGTGATCATTTTCATTTTTTTTCCTACCAGAAAAAGCTGCATTATAAAGGACATCTATACAGATGGGTGGAAACAGATTTTTTTTGTCTCCTTTGACAGTGATTAGACTTGGCCAGGTCTCCAAACAGTCTTACAGTTGTGCTACCACAGCATGCTGCCCAAACCAGTCAACCCTAAAAAGAAAAACTTGGCAGAGGAGTCTATCCACAACAGGGATGGAGAATGCATCCTTAATTCAAGGTCATGACAAAGCTATGTCAAATTATTTCTTTGGTGTGGGGTGTTCAATTATGAACTGCAACACATTTAAGAATTGCCAGTGATGAAAAATGTACATCTACAGAAACAAAAGGCATCTTCTCCCACCCTTTTTCTCCCCAGCCTGGCTGAACTATTTAGAGTACTTCTTCAGGATTACAGCAAAAAATTTACACCAAAGAAAGTAAAAACTGAGTGGAGTACCTTCTAGGTTTGGAAATGGTGGAGAAAACATCATTGAAAGACAGAATTTTATTAACTCATGATAGAACATGAAGAAACAGACTAAAACTAATAAAACTGCCAATTCTTAGAAAAGAACAAAAGGATTTATAAGAGGCTATGCTAGAAAAGCTAATGAGATAGATCCATGTAAGCAGTAATTTTTAGACTTCTTTATAAACACAAGCTCATCTAAGGACTTGGTGTAAAAAAGGATCATCTCCCACACTCATCTCTGTATTTAACAATATTGTCTTTCCTTTTAGTGCTCCCCCGGCTTCCCCCAGTGACCTCAGATAATAGCTATTTTCTAATGATTCCCTCTTTTAGCTCAAACCAACAGAATGGGAAACACTGAAATAATTAAGTTAGTCGAGGTCATCATTAAGATAAAGATCTCAAGGTGCTTCACATGCAATCTTACAAAAAAAAAAAAAAAAAAGAAATCTGTGTATTCTTCAAACAAATAATTTAAACCAGCATTCTCTTCACAAGATCTCCTTATGAAGGAATAAGTCACTACACAGCTCATTTTTTTTAAATAACTTCCTAGAACTTTAATAAGAGAATACTGAAATAATTTATTGTTAACACCTCTAAGTAGCCACCTGTTCCAGGCATATACAGGCATGCAGTTAAACACCTGAGCAGTCATATACCAATCAAGTGGTTAGCTGGCAATGTAATGTATTTCTTCCAGATTAGATACTAGTACATAGCCATCTATATATAAGAAAGATTTTACTTTCTAGGAGTCCAAACTGAAAATCTTTTAGATTACCAAAAGCAAAGTCTGAAGCAAGGCTTTGAATACCTGCATTGTGAAAGGTGTCTACCCATCCCCCATCACCATCATCTTCTTCTATAATCGCTTCCTGCTCATCCGAGTACTCCATCTGTTTACATCTTTTGTAGCACGGCACTGCAAAAAATTGCAAAACAAAATGAATGCAGCCATTCCTATACAAAACCAGATTGGAGCAAGAAATTATCCTACAAGGCCTTCTGAAATGTGGTAGTCTCTCATATATCCTTATTTAAGGAATCATAGAGCTATATTTCAAATGCAAAAGCATGAACTTAAAAAATATGTTGATGTGCTGTACCAGATATTTTATTTCAAGTACAGTACAACACTTGCAGTGGCCTTAAAAGTTCATTCTTCTGTTAGCCATTAGAGCATTTTCACACAAACCCATAAGGATTAGAAAAGAATTACCTTCTCATGTCTCCGAGTGCCTATCCATTTGCTAACAACTGGAGAAAACCTATTAGTTTCCTTCACAATGCTAAACAACTTTTAGTCTAAGTACAACTTTGCCTGGATTAGCATCAGTTTACTGAACTTATTTGTCTTTAGAATTCTGCTAAAAGTTTGCATCAGCTATTTATGCAATATATTAGATATGTTTAATTATAAATTAACATCTAGAAGTTTAGAAGAGGTTAGAATTAATGTGTTATTTAGAATAACTTCAGTCATATGCATTACAGAGCCATTCAAGTACAGATTTATACAGTTTTCAGAAAACAGTCAAAGAAAGAATGCGGATCTGATTAAGGCAAAACAGACATTTTCCAATATCATAAACAAGGACAATGTAAAAAATGGTCCTTTTCTACTAATGTGGAGAAAACAACTGCTGTATGAAGTGCAGAATTTGTAAATTGCTCTTAGACCTTTCAGAAAGGGAAAAAAGAGGGGCATGAAAGTCACAGTGAAGAGAAGTTCTCCAAAGACTTCCAAAATGAGGTCTGTAGGATGGCTCCCAGCCTCACCCACAGCCCCCAACTTTTACTTAGGCGGTAGGCCAATGTGTCACCATCAGCAGGAAACATTATTTTGAAATGTGATCTAGAAGGGTCAGAGCAATGTGGGATCCTGGAAGTGGGGGGAAAAGAGAAACAAAGTAGATCACTTGGCCATCCAGCCATCAAGACCATCTTAGGAAAGTCTGTCCAACACTACTATAAGCATTTTTCCATGATAGCGCACTGCAAGACTCCAAAAGCCAGCAAGTAAAATCAGAGTATAAAAATATAACCCAGTGCAGGTAAAAATCTCTTTGGGCTGTTCTTAGTACTGAAGGTTTATCTAATGACATTATGTTTGACACATTTTCATACAAGATCTCCTGAGAAAATTATTTCCCCATGGTTGTTCCAAGATGTTAGCTTTCTTGTCCATTAAAAAGCTAGTCACCACACGTATTATATACACACAACTGTGAACCTGATCAAAATTTGATATAAAATTGTATTGTATATTATAGTTATTGAAAGGGATAGTGACATTAGTCACATATGTGAACTAGAAGTATCAGTGTCACCATGAAAGACATTTTGGGAACACTTCAATAGCCCAAGTTTTCCAAAAGAAAGAGGAAAATAAACATATTTTCCTTTAGACACTGAATATGAGCTGAAGGACAGGGGAAAGGAAAGGCAGAAAAGGAGGTTTATAATGTTTAAGCTTCATTTCTACTTCAGCAAGGCAAGCTGCATTACTAGTATAAAGCCCTACTAACAACTGGTCTAAGGAAAAGATTTTAGATGTGCAGGAAAAACTTTAATATTGCAAAGCCAAAGCATCCAAAGTGCAAGATATTTGCTTCCCCTGTCAATACAGACAATCAGTAGAGTTGATAGCACAGTCAACCATGCTATCAGTCCTAAGAACACTTATATTTAAACTTCAGCCTTACCATTTTTAGTTACCAAAAACTGTTTGTCTGTTGGCAGATAAGCCTTGACTTTTAGTTCTTCTCCTGAAGCCCTGTAAAATGAAGTGCACCATAAAAGGTTGAGAATTTGATGATCTGCAAACAAAAGAACCCTTCTATTTTCAATTTATATCAGGAACATTTTATATACTCCTCTTGACCTATTCTCAGAATCTGTTTCCTATGACTTTACTTTTGCCTATACAAAGACTTTGATATAGGTATGGGGTCAAAAACGTTGGCCACCCCTAAACTATGGAGTCTTGGATAAAAACTATTTTCTGCTTCAAAAACTACTTTCACTTTGAGATGGCCAAGCAAAGATGGGTTGACAGAACAATCTAGTCTATATGAAATTTTCTAGGATTGGCAACAACGCAGTCCCAAATGTTTCCAGAAAGCAACTTCAGAAAAAGCAAGAAATAGACCTCTAGAAATATAAACACTGCCCATAGTCACCAGAGCTCAAGTAATCTTTCCCAAGCTCACGTTACTCAAACATTTGCTTTCACGTTCAGTGGTTTTTGGTTTGGAATAAGAATCTAACTTTCTAAATAGCCTGTTCCAAACTGCTGGCACACAGGCCAGGCTCAACATCTTGTTTTCTCTGAAGGAGACAGTAAAAAGGCAAGAAAACAATGATTCAAGCATACTAATTCCTCCTTCAGCTCTTCATGGCCCAGTATAGAGCCAAGAATCTCGATGATACCAACTGCACAGAAATTGCCCATCTAGGCACTAACTGATTAGTTTTATAATGCTAGACACCAGGAAAACATGAGGGAGCACATTATTTGCGGCCTTATTGTACATGAAAGAAGGGATTTCCAAGGGCAAGCACTGCACAGAGTGATCTGTTGTGGGCCAACTTGAACAAATGTAATTAACAAATGCTTGTCTAAAATGCCCTGATTACAACTAGTTCTTAGCAATTCCAATTGGACATGGCCTCTGCCTTTTCAATCACCAATACTAAGACAAGCTCAGGGAGACAAACTGCTACTGCAGCTAAGCACTGAAAGCATTCACAGTATGTACCAGCTTATTTCCTCTACAGCCTTAGGAAAACAAAATAATCCCAAAACAAATCCTCATCTCAATTATTGCTACACAGAGCAATAAATAAGTCCCGCCTGACTTAAAGAGAGCTTCATCATAAAAACAGCAGAAGTTCTACTGCAAGAGTCCATGTACTATTCTGAAATGAGACAACTGTATAGTTGCATCTAACGGAAACACATCAAAGCACAGATAGGAATGCTAGCTTTCTATAATTCTTTTGATTTTACTTACCATTGCCAAGTAGGGCAGTGGTGAACTAAGTGATCTCCAGCTGCGACAAACTGTTAAGACAGGAAAAAAGTTGAAGTCCTGTTAAATATAGCATATGAAAACAATCCCAGATTTTTCTCAACATTAATATTTCAGTTGCACATTCCTTTGATAGATTAACTATTTAATTAATGACTGTTTATATTCAGTTTGATACTTTCTTTTAACTCCATTTCTCAGCTAACCATGAAAACTCAACGACTAAATTGACTTCACCTGAAGGAAATGCATACTCAGCACAATAGCAAATTCAGATAAAGTTTCAAAAGCTGTGGTATTACCTACCAGTCTTGTAACAGCAAAAAAGTTTCCTAGACCCAGTAACATTGTTTACTTTGTGATGAAGAAACTTTTTATTTGCCACTCTTCAATGTCTTACAAGGACAATGAAGAGCTTAATGTAAAAAAAAAAAAGTTAATTCTCTTCCGATGTTCAAAGAAATTTTGCAGCAAGAAGTGAGACTGACATCAGTTCATTGAACCAGTGAGAGAACTGCAACAAAGGAATAAACAGTATATCTTTTAAGTTATGACCATCACTATGATAGTTCACCACTGATGTTAACCAAATACGAATAACCAAGTACTTAGTACATTAAAAAAACCTTATGTATAACTTTGTTCTGAAGAAACAGCTTTTTTAAAAAATCTTCATTCTGCTTGTTCTTAGTATCAGAAATAAAGGTTTTTATAAAATCACATCATTTCAAAACGATATTGGAAAACCCATGCTAGACTTGTGTACGAACTCAAAATTCACCCAGCAAAGTCCAACCCACTGGGCTTATTTTTTGTACATATAAATTGAGGAAGGCAAGCTTGCATTTAAGAACAGTGATTTGTGTGGTCTTTGCACCAGTTACTTTTGAAAATGAGGTGCACACCTATTGCTACAGTTGCTTTCTTGTCTTAAAATGCCAGTTTATAACAACATACTTCCTAGTTGACCAGAAGCTGTTGTAGAGTGACACAACAGGCTTGCAGTGTGTCAGCCATTTTTTCTCCACGTCCTCCAAAGTGAGGCATATCAGCGTAGTGGGAAACACAACATGCACTGCATATGGATTAACAGATTTAATCTCTGCAAAAGTGCTTTCTTTCACCCATTTTCCAATAAAAGTCTCTAGCAAAAATGAAATCTTCACTTTAAAGAAAACAGTAATCCCTCCCAATACACATGAAAGTTTTTAAACTCATTAGCCTTTACATAATAATAAATGACACATGAAACTCCAGAATTATTTCAAATTCTCTGTTCAAGGAACTGGAACATTGTTTGTGGCACCAATGTTAAAATGTATTATTAAAGATGAAAAAAAATGTAAAGTGTTCTTTGTGGGTCTAACAGATGCAAAAACCTAAAACAATACTTGAAATTTCATTTGCATTTTCTTCAGCTTAGGCAGCAAAATTATCTAGCTGGTTTCACTTTCTATTTCTCAAGCACTAATGCTATCTCATACCTGAATCAATATGGCAAAAGTGGCAAGAGATCAATTTTAGGACAAAATCTTATTTCTACTCCTGGAAAGAATGATTTTTAAGATTTGCCTGTACTTACATATAAAATTAAAACAGGCATTCTCTTTGAGGTATTAACTAGTAAGAACTCATGACAGACAAGAATTTGTTGAAATTAAGTCAAGTACACAGGTATATGAAAAGAGGGAGTAGGTATTGAGTTTGATTAATGAGTCATCTTTAGCCTTACGGCTAATTGACTCCTCTTCAGGGGCAAGCCACAGGAACCCCACAAAGTCTATAAAATAGTCAGCGTCTCAGACTAAAATACAGTTAAATTGAGATTCATTACCCAAGAAATCCAAACTCATTCAAAGATAACATCCTAGCATCATTACAGATGACTTCAATTCTTCTTTAGCAATCATTACTACATAAAGACCAAAATCATCAGGGAAAAGGAAAGACTGTCAAAGGGACAATCAGCAGATCCATGCTCCAGTCTTATCTAAATTTAACAAAAAATTAATCTTGCTGTATAACTGCTTCGCTTGACTACTGCTTTGAAGGATCCAATTTATTCATCCTATCAGCATCTAACTTTATACAGAGAATACATACTATTCGCATTCTCTTACTGGTGTTTAAATGCTGCAAACTGTTTAACGTAACATAGTGTGGTTCTTGCTACGTTCTATAAAAGGTACCTTTTCTTTCAGTATCACTGCAAAGTTTTCTCCCATAGGTCAAGAAGAGTTTAAGCATTTGTAGAACATTTGTCTAGACTTTCTCTGTAAACAGTTATATTTATTTTACATAAGATAGATTATAAATTTATTATTATATAATATATAAACATATATATACACACATATATATGTATGGTTATCAGAACAGCAGAACACCATGTTGCTAAGCCTGTTTTTCTGAGCGGTAATCTTCTGGATCATAGAAAGCACAAGTGCTTGCTTGCTATGCAACATAGCAGAAAAATGCTAGGTACCAATGTCAGGAAAAATACTTCCTTCCACGTTATCTACCTGCATCAGTCATAATTTGTTCCATCTTTTTCCACCTCATCTTCGCATTTGTGCATTCTGTCTCATTTTCCTTTCATTCTACCTAACAGTCTTAACATTGTTTTCTTATACCTCTGTAAAGACAATGTATTTTCAGAACAGCAACACTTTAATATGAGAAAAAGCAGAAGGGAAAGTCAAAGTAGCACTGCACAACCAGTGTTTTTACTATTCTAGAAAAAATCCTGTTTGTTTCTCTTTGCAGCAGACTCCTTAAAAAACTACAACTGCTTGGCAGCAATCCAAGATAAAACCAGCCTGGAGCAGCCCATAGAGAAGGGAAGGGGGGGAAATAAAATCATTGGATACTTGGTGTGGACAAGCATATGTAATGATTTAGCCAGAGCCTTGGAAGGAACCACAACTGAGGAAAGCAAGGACTGTTCCCAAGATACAAGTTCCCCTTTGAGTTGCTTATGGGAAAGACTACTGAAATCAATATATTCCTGTTCCGGTCCTTAACTCCCATGACAAACAGAGCTGTCGACCCAGCATGAGCTTCCTTACAAGTTTTTCACGACATAATACAGGAAAAAAAGCATCCCCCATTCAGATGTCAAGCATCTAGAGGAATTCTGCTGTTGTTCTACTTCATCTGTAGAGTCAAAAGGCCATTTAGAACTTCCACTTTGTGAAAACTGTTTCAAGAAGCAATAATTAGTTGGAAAGACATGAACTGTTTGAGATGAACATAGTCATTTTGAGTAAAATGTAGCATTACTTTCAAAATATATTTCGATGTTTCTAAATACTTACTTCTTCAGGCGTAATTACTCCAGTTTCTTTAAACTTGGACTCCTGCAATAAAGAAAGTTTAGAAATTTTGAGCTCTGCTGACAAAGCTAAGTACCCCACTTTACTGGTAAAGAAAAGTATCTGCTCTACTTGTGTCTTGGAACTAGCTCTGTCCGCAGAGATCTGTGAATCAGCATGGAAGCAACCTCTGCCAGGGCTGATATGCAGCTTACTTCCATATCCTGTAATGTAAGGCCCAACAAAATTACTTGTGACAGAATGTGGGGTATTATGAAAAAGGACCACATACACAAAGTAATTTTTTTTGCTACAGCCAATTATATCAATAATAAAGAAAAGATTCCCAGCACTCAGGATTACATTTGCCAGTAAGAGACAGAAAACCAGTTGGAATAATTTATTCTCACAGTCAGGGCTTTCGGACTGTTCTAGGCACTGAACAGCAGTGCAATACATCAGTATGAGGCCTTACAATTCAGAAAGGTCATGAAATGAATGACCAAACCAACTTTTCTTTGTGGTAGGAAAAGTTATGTAGAAAGACTTAGTTATTAACTTTTTTTTGCACCCATTTCTGTGCCTTCATTATGCACCCCATGGAAATGGTTTTGACTTTCTCATATTGACACTTTTTTTATGGAGGAGAGAAGAGATGGCAAGCAGCAACGTGATTTAGTTCTGCATGGAGAAATGAAGTACTTTTGCATTAAAGATGACATCTATGAAGTTTAAGGATAGCACATTTTTAGCATATTCAAACCTAAAGTGTATTTTGTTTCAGACTTCTGTTTCTGTTTTTTTCTTCAGAAAAGCCTCAAGCACCAAGGAAACCTACTGTTCCCCAGCATTAGAGATACCTGAGAATGGCTTTTGAAAAATAATACAATTTCAACCATGGCATAGCTCACTTTTCAAGTTTTTGCATCATCAATTACCAAATAACTTCCTGCCCTAAAGAACTCATGATTTTTTTTCTATCAAGACCAAAAGCAGCAATTGAAAAGTACCTCACTTTTGGCTACAGCTTCACCTTATTCAATCATTAGGAAATCATTAAAGAAAGCCAGCCACTGCTCAACTTGGTTATTCTCGATGCTTCACCCTGGTGCATGCTATCACCTGTGCTACGTACAAGGAAATGAGCACACCTGTTTCATACAATACTGATTACTGCCCTTCTCCCTCATTTCTAGAGACATTTAAGAACAAGATTAAGCAAAACAGCAGTTGTACAAACACCGTAACATCACCATATGCTAGTTAACAGAAATCAAAGAAACTCAAACAACCTTAATTTAGCAATCTGGATTGCTGTAAAACTGAGAATTCTCGATAACACATTACGCAACACCACACTGGAGACAACTCACTATTTAACCTCAAAATAAACAGCAGCAGGCAACATGCACAAACTTGTGTTTCTGGAATTACATAAAGAAAATATGTAAAACATCCATCCTCTGTTCCCTGAGAGTAAATAGTTCACTTTTTCATCTCTGTACATTCTGTGGTATGTAAGCTAGTGAGAGACACAGGTCTAGTTTCTTCCCAAAGTTACCAAGTTGGTGTATTTATTGCAACCCCTTGTAAAGGGAACATATACACATAATATTATCACCTCCCATTTGTGGGATATTCTACTCCTGCCTCCTCCCAATAGTACATCTGGACACAAGAATTCCTCCACTATTACACCAGTTGTGCAACAGCACCTGTACTATGGTAAACAAATCACTTCACCTTTCCACACCACAACTTCACTGCAGCCCATATATGTCACATTGGTGGGCAACTCTAGAAAGGTTGACTATCCAGGAAAGAGCATAGTATATACACCACAGAGGGACAAGTTCAATTAATAATTGAGTATCACTGTCTTCTGCCCAAAGATCTAAGCTGCAGAGTACAAGGCATATAGAAGGTCACACCATAAAACCACAGGCAGAGAGGTTGCTGTCATAAACAATTACAGTAAAAGTATTTTTTCAAAAACATGGAAAAATGTGAAAAACAGTAGCGAAAGAACTGCTGACAAGTTAAGCATTCACACACAAAGTTGGGTTTTACATAAAAAAAAATTTGTAAATAGAAGGCAGAAGATGGGACATAGTCTAACAACTGCAGAAAAACACTTAAAATTTGTTTCTACCTAAATAAGCATTAATAGGAATTATAACAGATGTGCTGCCCGCCTTTACAAGCAGACTGTTACAATTCACTCTCAAGAACCAAACAGCCCATTTCTACTATTCGCAGTTACTTTAGCACACAGAGGCATGTATTAGTATAGCAATGCTGATACAGAAATAAGCTACGCTACATAACTTTATACCTGCTCACATAATGAAGATGTGACTAGGGTTTTTTTATGACAGCTGAAGTTGCACTCTTACCCAAAATAACAATTGCAACGCATTCCTGAAACCAGGCTTAAGCCTATCAGTACACGAGTACCTTTGGATTTCCATTCCTGGTCAGACAACCAGTCAGACAACCATGTGGCACTGGTGAGGCCGCATCTCGAATACTGTGTTCAGTTTTGGGCCCCTCACTACAAGAAGGACATTGAGGTGCTGGAGCGTGTCCAGAGAAGGGCAACGAGGCCGGTGAGGGGTCTGGAG